TCAGTCACACACTTCAGGGTTTGTTTAGGGTTCAAACTATTCTGGCTCAAAGTTATTACTGGAGTTCATTCATAAGACTCTTAGTACTAGTATTTTTTTTTTTTTTTTTTTTCACTCCAATCCATCATCTCTTCTCTAAGGCTTTTCCTCATTCATTCAGTCTGTCTTTCAAACATTCACTCCCTCTGTGTGAAGCAGGCCAACCACACAGCTCACGCTTCCACCGGATGACTTCAACTTCTGCTGAGGCTCGATCAGATGGCCTCTGTTAAAACGCTCCACCAGGACTTTCACTCGCCACCAAAACTTTATTCATTAGTTTTTTTCCCCTCATTCAGAATGTGGATGAGTCTTTATGAGTTGAAATGCGGTGTAAATGTCACAGATTATTACTTTAAGCTTCTTCTGCTGTTACACAAACTATCATTCACTGTATAAAAGCTGCTGCTAAATCCACAAAATATAAAAAGATAAATGAGGGAAAATGAAAGACGGAGAGAAAGAGAGAGAGAGAGAGGGAGAGGGGCAGGTTCTGAAAGGGAGAGAAAATGAGGAAGACGCATATAGAGAGGGATATTCTCCTGCAAAGCCTCTTACCATTAAGCATTTACAGCTTAAGAAAAAGGCATTGGAAGGTCAGTCAAGGAGGTGTGAAGCAGGACGATACTGACACACTTTTAAAGAGAGGAAGATTGTGGGTGTGTGAGCTCAGTTCTGAGGCTGTATATGGGCTGGCTGTACAGCAGAGGCAATGGACTTTCTACGCATATTAAATGAGGAGAATTATGGGAAGGTAATTTGTTTCCCCTCTCATCTTCTCCTATGACTCTCCAGCTACTCAGGTTCCTATTTAAACATTCACCTGATGTCTGCTGGCGTCATCAGCTATTGAAATGTAAAACCCGGCGGAGAACCTGAGTGTGATAGGAGAACGATAGCGGGGGGTGATTTTGTCTTTAATCCCGCAGAGAGTTTAGGTTTGTATCTCACTCTCTTTAATTAAATAAGTTTGTCAGGAGAAAACATGTGACTTCATTACTAAGAATTTAACCCGATGGTCTTCCAGAAAACACAGAGTAAACACTTAGATATTCTCACAAAGGTCTGTAATGATTCTCCGTCAGTTCAGTCGATTCAATTTACTTCATTAAAACAGCAAAGCCTGATAATTGAAGAGAGAACATCCATTTGTAATTTCCTGTCAGAACTGCTTCATGTCAAACAAATTCCAGTAATTTCATTGCAAAGTGAATACATTTTCTGCATTGACGTTAACTAATAGTGACTTCACCCGTACTGGCTGTGGCCCCCAGGTCGCCTTCTCACCGTAGCTGCTGATGTATAAAAGCAGACCTGACGGTGTATTACAGCTGGGTGAGGCGGAGAGTGAGAGCTTAGTTTGAAACTTGGTTCTGGTGCTTTTTTTGTGTGAAATGCTGATATATGATGACACAGGTGGCTGTCACGCCAGGGATAAAGTTCATTTGAATAAGTAAGAGCGCATATATCATTTGTTCTAACCACAGCAGCCTGGGTTAGAGTCCGGCCCGAGGCCCTCTGCTGCCTGTCATCCCCTCTCTCTCTCGCTCTCTCTCTCTCTCGCTCTCTCTCTCTCTCTCTCTCTGACTTCCATGTCTCTCTTTCACTGTGGTAATTACAAGAAAGGCAAAAAATACCCAAAACATAACTTAACAAAACTAAAAATCTGAGACTTTTCCCAGAATGGGAAGGACTGCGGTGTATGTTCGTTTTCCTGAGGAACTACTAAAGTATAGGAGTAGGACACAGACCTTCAGTCTTTTTCTGAGGTGATCAGGTAAAGCCCAAACTCACATACTTTACCGCGGTTACCTGATGAACTTGCAAATATATAAATATATAGGCTGCTTTACACTGATCGCTTGGTTAACAGTTCACATTCATCTAATGGAGTTAATAGTAGTTTGGCTTTCAAAGAGGAGACGTCCCTTCTCATGCGGTTTCTTTCCGGGCCTCTGGCTGTTCTGCCTAACCTGTTTGGTTTGGTTCAAATGAACTCTCGTTTGTTTGCCAATTTGGTCTGGTTCGTTTAGGCTGCTGGAAAATGATGCCAATTAAACAACTAGAGCGAGACTGTGGGCCTGTGGGCGCTGTCACACCTGTGTTTTGGTTCAGTTGGTCCAGACCATGGGGAAAAAAATTATATCTGGCTCATGTTCACACTGGCTTTTTACAAACAAACCAAGAGGAGTAAACACAAAGTCACAGAGTCTGATACCTTACTGATTGGACAGTTTTGGTGATGTCATCCTGTATCACCAGCCCATCATCAGGAGCAACGTGGGGAAATCAAATCCTGGTCACTGATAGCAGTTCATGCAGCACTTCAATGCTTTTAATGTTCAGAGATCTTCACACTCAGCAGAGGGATTTGATTGGAGTTCAGCTATGAAAATCGTGTTAAAACCACATATTTTCCATCAAAAAACATTGTGGTTGGTCTCTTTAATTTCCACAAATGAACTGCACAAGATTCAGCTGGGAAGTGGACCCAGACCCTCTCTCTCATGCGGTCTCAGTGCGGTTGTTTTGGCAACTGACAGCTTTCACACAAGCCCAAACGAACCATGCTAAACGGGCAAACGCACCATGGTTAGGTGTGAACGCACCCTAAAAGAGTTAAATTTACAACAGGCCTCTTTTTCATCCAGCTTTTACTTGTATGTCATCATTTATGACAATAATGATAATGATAACAGTAATTTATTAATTTGTATGCTTTTTGGCACCACCAGAAAAACATAAACAAACACATAAGGTCTATAAAGTGCTTGTAACTTGCCATCACTCACCAGAGTTAATTACCAGTTACCAGGAACAGTGTATCCTTTCTTTCTTTCTTTCTTTCATTCTTTCGGTCTCTAAATAAATTAGACCACAGACTTCTACATCTTGCTATTCTGCTCTTATCATCCTGGTCTACTTGTTGTTAAATACCATTCTGGCCCAAGTATAAGACAATGTTTTTTGAGGATTAGTCATTCACATATTCACAACTACATGTTCCATTTAAATGGAGTGAGTGCCAGCACTTGTGTTACAGTGTGCGCCAGAGTGAGCGTTGTATAAGAGAGTGAGAGAGCATATAGAGAGCTGAAGTCCTGCCCCCTCTCTTCGCTTGCTTTTATTCCACTTGCATGATTGTATTACTCAACAGCTTTACTCAAAGCGTGTTCTTTACTTTGTGTTTAAAAAAAAAGAAAAAAAAAAAAGAAGCCTCTCATGTGTTCCTAGGTTTTCAGTCTGTTTTTACCGCTGTACTGGGCATTAATATTTGAAAACCTCAAGATAAAACAATGATTATTTTTGTTATCCCGTGATTCTTAGTCATTTGCACACTGGCAAAGCCTCATGGGAGCATTTTTCTGTATTGTTACACTCTGATAAATGTGTTTGCAGTCAGGAAAAAGTGGGAGGATTGGAAATGAGATCGTCTGCTCTAAATAAACAGCCGAAGAAGATTTGATCTATCAAATTACAAAAAGAAGAGTCAAAATGTGAAACTTCAATTATTCTAACTTAAAAGCTGCCACACGTCTGTTCTGTTCTCATTTGCAGTGGGAAATTGTTTTTTATTTTTCCTGAAATGAAAATGAAAATTCAAGCCGGATGAAAAGTGATTTTAACCTCCCATAAACGTGTTACTGCAATCACAGTAGGAACTGATGCTGATGACATTATTGCAACATTTCCAAATGCTAACTCTGTGATACCCTCATCCCTCACGATAAACACGCAAAGATCCAAAAAATGTATATTTCCAATGCACATGAAAGACACGTGTCACATTTCCACTTTTCATTTTATCCCTTTTTTATTTTACACAACATAACAACACAGTACATGTTGTCTTTTTCTGTACAGAAGCTTTCCGGGGAACTCGTGACCAACACAGGCTGTGGAACACCAGTGTCAGTGAAAAGCTTGCAAGGTTTTTTATGTTCTTTTTTTTTTTTTTTTCTTTATTCTTCCCTTTAAAAAATATCAATTTCATAAGAGGTCCGTTAAAGTCTTCTGTTTGTTACTTGTTGTCTCAGTTTGTGTCCGTCTGTATGTCAAGAAAACATCTGTACTCCTCAGTAGGTAAGAAAGGCTATGTGTGAAATCTTCTATTCCTTTGTTTGCCCCCCCCCCTCTGTCCTAATCCCTCGTTCGTGGAGCCGTGGTGGAGTTTTAAATCCAGTTCTATCATCTGTCAGAGGGTCTGTTAGTGCAAAAGAAGGCACCGACTGCTGTTCTCTTGCCACCGTATGGACGCACACTCTCTGTGGGCGTGTGAACGTTAAGAATGGTGTGCTTTTCAGTTCTTGTATTGTTGTTGTTTTTTTTCATTCTTTTTTTCCTGTAATTATTCCCTTTTTGTGGTATTTTCAGATAAGGTGAGTGTGAATCGGGAAATGACGTGGCGAGCCCATTGTCTTGTTTTCTTTTTGTGCTATAAAGTGGAACCAACGAGACAACCCGAGGACGCTACGAGACAAGGCAAGTTATCCACTCGCTGAATGACCGACTGCAAAACAGATAGGAAATTGTCAAAGTGAAAAAACTGTAAACTGAATACAAAGAGTTGTGGAGAAAAGTTATGAAAAATAATAATAAAAAAAAAAACCTGGTTGAAAAAAGAAACAGTATGAACGCAGAACACACACTCGCAGTCAATCATCCAGCTACAACATGAATGAACACACACACACACACCAAAAACGCAGATTCTAAACGGCAAAAAACATATGTCACAAATGCTCTCACACACACACACACACACACACACACACACACACACACACACACACACACACACACACACACACACACACACACACACACACACCTGTACCTTCACTCACACATCTAGAAACAAATTCAAACTAACACACAGAGTCTCAGACACACACTCATACAAAAGATAAACAATAATGGATAAACCAAAGTTTATTTTATAGTCGCCGCCTCGCTCCACTTCAAACCGTGCTTTCTAAGATCCAGTCTGAATCACAGCGTCCTTTGTCCGAGTCTCCGTCCCCATCTTTAGGGAGCAGCATCCCGCTCATTGATTGGCTCCTTTTGTTTCGCATTATGCGCCCTAATCTGGGCGCTCCTCCTCCCTGATGTGACGAGTGCGTCTTTGGGCCTCCCTCACTGAGCGAGTACCTCCTCCTCGCCCTGCTCCTCCCTCCCTCCTCCACAGGGAGAGTCTGGTACTTGGCGGAGGAGGAAACAGTGGCGGAGGAGGAGGAGGAGGCGGCGTGGGGAGCCCGGCGCAGGATGGGCGTCTCTCTGAATCGGATGGAGGGGACGGGGCTCGGCGTGGGGTGTTGGCTGGAGAAAGGGGAGGGAGCGAAGGGAGGCGGGGTTTGGTTGAGAGAGGTGGAGTTGTTGCGGTTGGTGTTGAGGTTCTCCAGAGGGATGGAGGAAGGGAGGAGGACGGAGGAGGCAGTGGAGGAGGAGGAGGAAGGAGGGCGTTGGGAGGTGGGGAGATTCTCAGGGATAGCCGAGGTGTTGGAGCACGCCGAGCCTGGCTTACTTTGGGCGGGCATCCGCTTTGGCTTGGGTAGTGAACCAGTGGTGGTGGTGGGCGTGGAGATGCCGGCCTGAGCTCTCTCTTCACCCGCTTTCTCCCGTTCCTCGGCTCCAGCTGTCGGGCTTCTAGCCGTCCAAGGCTGGCTGAGAACTGACGTAGTGGTGGAGCAGTCAGGCAGGGAAGAGTCGGACGAATGAGTCATCGTATCCTTGCCCCCTCCTCCTCCTCCTCCTCCTCCTCCTGCTGCTGCTGCTCCGCTCCTCTTCTTTGTGCCTCCCGAGAGGTCGTCTAATCCGATTGAGCCATGTTTAGAGGCGCTGGGAGTCACAGTGCATCCCTGCGACTGCTGCCCATTGGTCTGTGAGTGAACGTTGGTCATCGACATTGAAACGCCTTTACCGCCCTCCCCAGGGTTACACACCTGTGGAAAAAAAAAACACAAGCAAAGAGGTTTTCATCCTTTTTTTCCCACACTCAAATATTTGCATATGAACTCAAGGCAAAATGACAGAGAAAATATGAACTCAGTGACCAAGAATTACAAGAGCTACAAACAGAAAATCTATTCAAATAAATAAATTATATAGAAGTGAACCTAATGTCAATCTTGTCAGTTTGAATCCTTGTAAATCCTGCAGAGTGAAATGTTTACAGCCAAGGACCTTATGTCTTGAGCCACAATTATGACATATGATCGGTTAGACTTAGCTTTGATTCTGTGATGTAATTGTTTAATCTGTGATGTAATTGTTTAATACCTTTGCACGCAATATACCTTCTTGACAATACATATATATATATTTACAGTATATGTATATATAAATATAAATATATATATATATATATATATATATATATATATATAAAGTTTCTACAATTAGTTATCCTTTGCCATTTTTTGTCACCATGAAAAGAAAAAAAAATCATGATGTTTTTCCTTTTCATGGCATGAATGGACTTTCATACAGGGGTCAATAATCACGTAGCGCTATGCAGACTCAGAGATGCATTCTTAAATCTTAAATGCTCAAAAATGGCTTGTGATTGTTTGTCACCGCCGTGAACGAACACGTTAACAGCAGAAGTGTAGTGGTGCGTAAAGGCAGGTTTAGATCTGGGCAGTACATGGCCGCCATGCGAATAATCCCAATTGTCTCACATAATGAAAAGCTCTCTCCTCTTATTCTCTCTCATTTCTGGCAGGAGAGGATTAAGAGTGACAGACGGAGAGACCCACCTTGTAACGTATCATCAGGATGATGATGAAAACGAGCACCGAGGCCACTATTATCCCTCCAATGATGATGATCATAGTCCCGCCGAGAAACTGCGACTGCATGAAATGACACCTCATGTACTCTGACTCGGTGGTGAACTGCACACAGCCGACCACGCGGGTTGCTGTCAGAGAGGTGATGACATCATCGTAGATGGCCAGCACGCAGAGGTCGTACTGGGTCCCCGCGGCCAGGTTGTTGACCAAGAAGTTCTTGCTTGACGGGGGGATCATTCTGTGGATGGAAAGGGGAGGGAGACACAGGAAACACAAATGTTTATTTAAATATGTGAGTTTCAACAAACTAAAGGCACTTTGAGAAGAATAATATACAACCAGTAGAGGAATGTGCTGGTAAGGGTACAGTTAGGATTCTTATCAGGATGGATCATGTTACACCAACATGTATATTCCAATGTCATGTACTGTAACAGCTTTTTTAGATGGCCTCAAACCATATGGATTTATATGGCCTGACATCAGCCGTTGGTTAAAGGGCCCATATTATATAAAGTGAGATTTCTATGTATTTTTTGATTATAAAGCAGGTCTAGCTTCTATATCAATACTGTGAAAGTATCAAAGCGCTCAGTCCACAGAGAAAGACACACAGCCTGTATTCAGGAACTGAGCCTTACAACGACTTGTCAGGATTTCTGTAACACTGAGATGTCACAACAAAGCAGTCACTGCCCACCTGGACCCACTATCCAACCTTACAGGATTTGGTTTTTACTGAGTGTTTACCTGATATCGGTCACTCAATCACTCTGAAAACAGTCAGCCAATCAGAAGAGAGGCTGTTGTTACTAGAGCTCCAGAGAGAAGCCTGACAGAGAAGATGTAAAACTACACCGAGATGGTTTTAGGTTCTTAAGACCATAAATACAGCTTCTTATGGATCACAACTTCAAATAAAACACAGGGAAAGTGTAAAATATGCGACTTTTAAATTTTCTTGACCGGAACTTTACACTATCTCAGACAACTCCGAAAACCCTTCCTGCTCATTATTTTAATTTGACTGAAATGCTCTTTAGAGTTGAGGGACTACAAACATAACATGAACATATATTCATTAAAGCTGCTTTAAACAGCTCTTGTACTTTGCCTTGGGTACAATTACAAGCAACATTTCTTAATCTAACAGTAAGGGGACTGGCAGGACAACATTATGTGAATGCTCTCTCTGTACAACCTAAATAATCCATTCACTGGAGTGTAATGTGGTAAAAATACTCAACAGGGAAGTAAAAAGGAAAAGGGTATAGAATCAATGCACTCTGCTCAGATGTGTATAGCTGGCTGCTGAATCCTCAAAAACAGAAACCCACAAGTCATCAGCAGGACAGGAGTCCAATTAAATGATTTACTATTGCAAGGACGTTTGAGCAGACGCCCTTTCACAGCGGGCAAACTGTGTTCCAATTGAGCACAAGTGTAGAACAAAATCTTTCACAGTGAAACACAAAAGGGAAATAGTTTTCAATCAATCCATATATTCGTTTGGACAAATACAAAGGTCCTTTGCCACTCCGAGTTAAAGTTGGTTATTCTTCACTGGTCGCACTGACTAAAGAATTTGCACATTTGTCCCTCAATTTCCTTAAAACGTCTTGTCAGCTTTCCCCAGGTTTCCTCATTAAAATGCTAATGAAATTCCTCATTAAAACACAAGAGGCCGGCCGGTTCACAGCTCGCGGCCTCGCGTGCACTGGGAGGAGCCGAGGGTTACTTTGGCCAGGTTAAGCATCTGGTTTGGAGTTGGAGTTAAGTGAAGGTTAGGAGACATGTAAAGGTTTAATGGTGAGTATTAAGAGCAAGAGGATGAATGTAGTGGGAGGTCATTAGTGTGTTCCCAGCGGAATAACAGCACAAGGATGCAAGAGAGCGTGTGTGTGTGTGTGTGTGTGTATGCGTGAGCATCTACAGCAATCAGCCACAACCTTATAAACAGTAACTGGCTTTAAACGTTTATCAAGATATTTTTAAACTATGTAGATTTTTAGGTTGTTAAACGTTGTTTTCTATTACTGATACTACAGGCGCTTCCACTAAGGATACATGAGTGTTTTGGAGGCTCTGCTATGAGTGTGTGTGTGTGTGTGTGTGTGTGTGTGTGTGTGTCTGTGACCTCTCAGTATGATTATCTCTGTATATGTATGTGCGTAAATGCATCATCTCCTCATGTGCGTCTTCATGTTTCGTGGCTAAGGTCTCGCTCTCATCAGGTTTTTCTGGCGATGGACGATGATATCGGTGATAGACGATCATCAGAACGTTCGCCGATAGCTCATGTCTTTGCAAATATCAAGACGATATTTGACTTGCCCACCACGGAGCTGCACTGTGATTTAAGAGCGGAGGAGATCGACATTTAGTTCAGCGTTCAGCCTTAAGAACATGTTCCAACAATCCAATGAGTACACATATAAAAAACACATATACTAGACACATGCAGTATTAATGCGTCAGTAAACAATGGTCCCTGTTTGAGAGCATGACAGTGTTTAAGTCTCCGAGAAGATGATGGACCCAGAATGTGCAAGGTTATGAAACAAACACTTTTTTTTTTCTGTTTTCTTTTTTTACAGAAAGATATTAATGCTTTGCTGGTTATTGTGACACTCAACCACATGACACACATTCATACACACAAGGCCCAAGGCCACAGCAATAATGTGGAAATGAATCTTTGTCTGTGTGTATGTAGGCTATGTGTATACAAATGTAACCGCTTGTATCTGAGCTTTTAAGTGCAGGTGACATTCCGCTCCTATCATTAATCTGCAAACTTCAGTGTGACTTTACGTGTCCCACCATAGGAATAATGACAGCTGGGCAGTGTGTGTGTGTGTGCGCGTGTGTGCGCGCGTGTGTGTGTGAGTGCCCACGTGCGCATGCGTGTATGTGTGTGTGTGTGGTTTGCCCCCATACTGATGAAAACATCAAGCAGAGGAGAGAACACTACTTGTTTTAGTACTCGTGGGGTCATATACATTGATCATTAATAAAACCAGCTATTGGTATCAATGTTGTGGCTGATCATTGTATTCTGAGTGAATATCAAAAACAAGGGGTGTTGGACCTGTTATCATAATGCAAAACTATATAACTGTTGTTATCAAAACATACAAAGGTGGCAAATATAAGTGAAAACCAACATAAAGGCCTCTGGTTTCATCTCAGCAAACCTTATCAGCAAATAGCTCATACACTCTGGGGTGCGTATTGTGGTTTATGGTGGAACACACACACACACACACACACACACACACACGCACACACACACTGCCCAGCTTGGTGCGGTGAACCTGATGTGTTTGTATTATGAATATTTCGCCTACTCTGAACAGCTTTGACTGCCGCAGTCGCACCTGTGACAAACAAATGACAAACAAATCTCTGTCCTGATTATGTGGAGAGCCGCTGAGGCTGCACTGACTGTTCCTGTCACACTGACATCATGTTATCCATCAATCCCCGGATTCTCCACTGAATTAACAGAAAGCTGTGAACTATTTTCATGCTCTTACTCCACTGAAATATGAAACAATACGACAGAAACATTCAGTGCTCCACTCCACTAATGTTAGTCTCTGGGTGATGGGTGCAAAGTATCCACGTAATCCTCATAACTTCACTTGCTTCATGCAAAGCTAATGACTGAGTTATTACATCTCCGTGCCACGTTTTATTTTTCCATTAACACAGCTTCATTAACATGTACAAAAAATCTGTCTTTTTTGGGGGGATTTTGAATTGGTAAGGAGTGGGCGGCACAGTGGCACCCCCCGCAGCCCTAAAAGGATAAGCGGTATGGATGATGCATGGATGAATTGATTCAGAAGAAGATGAGAATTGTGATTCATATATGAAACAATCACCAGTGGGTTTTGTAATGGTCTATTTATCTTAACAAGTAGAGAATAAAGTCAGATATTTTTTGTCAAACTCTAACAATTTATTCAAATCGTTCAAAGTGAACAAGTTTGGAGATTTATTTTTTTTTTTTTTGGTGGTGACAATGTTACCTTATGAATAATTTTATTATAGGAATATTAAAGGAAATATTTCAGAAATTCTGCTTTTAATTTGAACAATATGACCATCTGTGCCATAAACATATTTGGTGTAATGAATAATCATTGTCATGTTCACACTTGTGTATTTCATTCCACAAGTCATTCATTCCAAGTAATTGGAATTGGTTAATCAATTAAATGGTTAATGAATAAAATGAGATAATAACATGGAGAACTCTACTGGACGACTACAACACCACTCTTCCCAAAGAGATTCCTTCATTTCATCCTTTTGATGATGCACAGCACTGTTGAACATGTCAATCCAAAATCAATAGCAGGAAAGAAACATTAAGACCATGGAAGTACATCTCTGCTGTATTTGTACAAGAAGAAAACCCCTTCTTCTGTCAGTGTACCACCATGTTATCTCTTATCTCTCTTGATCAATATCTTATAGCTCCAGAAGTAGAAACAGACAGTGATTCTGTTTGATAAATCTCACATTATCTGGATATTGATCTGTAGGTTTTGTTCAAAATCGAAGGGAAACAATCATGAGTGAAAACAGTAACAAGGCGAGTTAAAAACCAAATGTTGTAACTCTGAATATGTTTTGGTTGGAAATCTATTAATGGACACTAATTATCTGTCTTTCTCGAGCGTTTGTTTGCTGCTTAGCCATGTATCTGCATGAATAAATGACATTTTCTCTCTTCTCCACTTCACAAACCTTTGCTTCCAAGAAACCATTAGCTACATGACTCATCCTGGACACAGGCCAAATTAGAATGTCTCTAAGCAAAATCCATCCGACCGGACGCTCCGGCTAATGAAACTCGCATTGCAGAGTTTTCATTGTGGACGTGTAAGCCAAGCTGTCATCATTTATAATTCATAGATACATGGAACAGTCAGAATATTGACAATGTGTTTGGCTTATTTGGACCCTGTTCCACTGCATGCTGAGTGCACAAAATACATTTTCATGCAAATCAGTTTTTTTTTTGGTCTTGCATACAATTATTTCTTGACTGTGTGAGCCGTTAGCATTTGTGAACTCATCCAAACTGACTCATTCATTGTGGCTAATTTCTTTGTGTCTGAGCTGGATCTTGCTGCCAGTATCTGAAGCCCTACAGTGGGCAGATGATTGCCTTGGCCGAGACTATTACACTAATCTATCTACTGTGCTCTGCCAAGCCCTCAG